ACCAAGTCGATTTGTTCATTTAGTAGGTTATATCCGCAAGGCTCTATTTTAGAAAAGAGATGATTCGGTCAAAAACGTTAATGGTGCTTCAAAAATGTTTTATTCAAAATGTGAATAACATCTACTTGATTGATTTTAACACACTGCTTCACAAACGCCGTCTTTCCCACAAATTAGACCATCCACACATTTTGCCAGGAACGCACCACCACCTGCTGTGAGGGGTATACATCTTTCTCCTACATCTAAAATTGAGAAATACATTTTTAATTTATGTATTCATTATATTTCTGCTACATCTATGTTTCAGATAAAATTTATTTCACAAGAGTAATGACAGAAAAAACTCATAAAGATTGTTTTGCATTTCATCAATAATAATACAACAGGACCTCAACATTTTATGAATAAATTTAAATATTTCAAGGAAAACTTTGTTATTTAACGAGCAACCAATCTGATATGACCACGAGTTCGTAAAAGGAGCGATTTTATCTATTGTTGGTTACTCGAGTGGTATTGCTCAAAAATAATGATTGATCTATCGATCAATAGATGCTGTTCATTTTTTTCCACTATAACTTTCTGCAGTTGGGCCAAACTATCACAGCAGATTTCTATTCTGAGGAAATTGAAGTCAAGTCAAGTCGAAAATGTTTATTAGCTTTCAAGAATATTAAAAAAATATTGTGAATGTGTATTGTGTGGGTCCCTGCTATAGGCTTATGCCTCTTCAGAGTTAAATCGAAGAAATGTACCGAAAATTGCGTCAGCAGCAGCCGCCTGTCCGTACGTTTCACAATCCAAAAATTAAACGAATTGACTGTCGAAATTCTGCCTCACCCACCATACTCCCCAGACCTCACGTCAGCCGACTACCATCTTTTCAAAGCACTTCGATAACTTTCTCATTGGTAGAACTTTCGCCAATCTGGACCAGGCAAAAACGGCATTCGTCGACTTCATCGAATCCTGATTCAAATGACGCTCATTTCTACTAAATTGAATAAGTATCCACTAAGATATTACAGTTTGAAATAGACTCATAATGACGGACAGAACTTTTGAAACAGCCTAATAATATAGCTATTTTCAGCTGAATGTTTAAAAACAAAATATCAATTCTCAAATGAATCAATTTTATTACCTGACTAACGAGAAGTTTTGACGAAAACATTTGTTCAAAAGTACAGTTATCAAAGACACAGTGTTGGAATATACAGTGCGTTTCTTTAATGTCCCTCTCCCCTTTAATTTTTGAACGGGTCAACTCAAAAAATTGAAATTGACAGATGAAACTTTCAAGATGGCGAATGGGCGCCATCTGGGAAAAAAGTTAAATGGAAAGGGGGGTCTTGTGACACATCTTTTCAAAGCTCATGACAAATGCTTCGCAACTCTAGAATATAATGTCAAAAACCTACCGTTCAAACAGCTAGAAAAAAATAAGAAATTCATTGACACATTTTGTAACATAGCTGACTTGAATATTGAAACATCAATCGCAGTGTTTGAAGAATTTGTATGTAGAATGTAAATGAGGCGAGAGTTGCGGCTTTTTGCAAGACTTACAAGTTTAATAAAGACAAGAATTTCAAAATCGCATCAAAGAATTTCGACGGATCAGTCCTACCTCCAAGCAAAGCGGCGTTAAAGCAACATATTCTCCGAACATTTGGCGGAATGCTCACAAACAGGAAATAACCGCTCTGAAGATGGAAGATTTCGGATGGAACATAGAGGAGGGCATATGCTCCTTCAAATGGTTTGAAGGAGATCAAATGCCGATAAGTATCGATGACATCGTTGTGGAGAAAGAGGAAAATGTATTGTTATTGAAAGTTATTCCCCTCCAACTCTTACCAAATATTGATCAATTGTGTGATTTCAGATCAACCAGAGGAACTTGATGATAATGAAATCGGTCATTCCATGGATGACTTGAAGTTAGATTCAGACACCGACTTCAACTCCTTCCTCATCAGAAGATTCTGATAGTGAAGGAGAAATTGANCCAGGAATGGCCGCTATTTCATAAGCAACTTACTAATTTACGAAATAACAACTACCTTCAAACAAACCTATGCATAAATCAACTCATTTTCTTTGGGTGCATGTCGCCAATATTGACCAATATAAAGCATTTAAGCATTTTTAAAATAGTTAATTGACTTTACTGATATCTTCTTACTGACCAAAGCGAATTAATAAACACATTCTACCATTGTCACTCAACTAATAATAATAATAATATCTTTATTCGTCTTGAGGAACACAAGGTTTATAGACATGTCAAAACAAATGGCGCAATTAAAATCAGGCTATATACATCTTAAGATTCCCCAATCAATGGTGGTCATGAATTGAGAAATACAAAATACGAAGACATACTCATTAAAACAAATTACATTACATGATGGGAATTTGAGAATTAGACGGTAATCATAAGGTTGAAAAAATTATATCGAGATCATCAAGAAGATAAGATAAGAAGTTCAGTACAAACATTTGATTTAAATTACAATGCACATACATATTAGTCAGTTGGGAACATACCTATTATTTAGGTGTGTAAGAAACTAGATCTACTATAAGTTATTAACAGTTCATCAAATAATCACCATTCTTCAATTTAGTTTGATATCAACAATAATTTTGATTTATGCACATGACTTTATCGAGCATTTTTATTCCTACCTGCAACTGTTGACGATTACTTTCGTTTTGTTTTTCCATACTTTGCAGAATGTTTCTGGCACCTATGGCCTGAATTTTTTGCTTTTCTACTGCTTCTCCCAATTGCCCTACCATCGTAATGAATTTACTTGCGATTTTTTGGAACTCGTCAATTTCTGAAAACGTCGATTGATTTCATTCTACAAAACATTTTTGAATTTATTCTTACTCTCAGTATATATATAACATTCTTCCTTCAAATCATTAGTTGACTTTGATACTTCAGGTTTCAGAATACATATTCTGTCCACCTCGTCAAAATAAATTCCAGCTAGAGCCAAAGAATCTGCCATTGTTTATTTGTTGTTAATGACCGTTTCCATAGAAACATAGTGTAGGTAAGTTGAATGAAAGATGGATAGAATTTTTTTCAAAGAGAAAGTTATATATTTAAATATGAAGTAATACAAATTATGAAATAATGAAACAACAATAAACATTAATTGGCGCTCCGGGGCGACTTGATTGATTCTAGTGGCGCATTTGCTTTTTCAGCTGCAGGAAAACCTGCAGCACCACATCATCTGAAGATTTTGATCTGCCAATATCCTCTCTCTCATAAAACAAAACGTAGGGTGTCTTCAGAGGCTCCAATAAATTCAAGATATCGCCAGAATATTTAGTGGATTGAATTGCATAAAAGCACACATCGCCTAGCTCGTAGTCCGGTCAGATTAGACAAAAAAAATAAGAGTAAAGCTACCTAATTTTCCAACAAGCTGAAAATCAGTAAGATCGTTTAAAATATGATTAAAAATTAAAGTTGAAAGTCCTCCATCTTTCCCCTGTATGAAAAAAAAATTATTCAAGGTCAAAGGTCAAAAAAATGAGTTTTTCGCGATTTTCAGCAAAACGATAAGTTTTATCATAAAAATACTTCACACAAAAGTTGTAGATCATAAAATTATCTACAAAAATGTATCAATACTTTTTTTTCTACGAGCCACCGTTTTTGAGATATAACGATTCAAAAAGTTGTAATCGTCATAATATGCATGAGTACGCCACATTACATAATGGGGAATGTTCCTCAACTTGGGTTATTACAGCAATTGCAAGTCTGAACAAAATAAAGTTGAGTTTAATTCATGGGTTTTTCAANCAGTACCGGGCAGGCGGTCCTCGATTGAAGACAAAATGAGAAAAAACCAAGAAAGTACTTGATAAAAATAGCTGCGTAAACGCAAGCGAAACATAAGTGGAACCACCTATTGGTGTGACACCCAAGTCAACTTGCCAAGTTTTTATGTTATATAATACTTTATCTAATATCAACATCAGAGAAAACAATCAAGCTGAAAATCCAAATTTCAAATACTCTTCCATTCCTTATGTGGGATATATATACTATCGATCGCTCCAAAAACACTTCACTAATGAAAAGAGAAATGAAAATTTCTTGTTTTTTACCACTTTTATTTGTAACTAACGTTACTGCAGTTTCGTCCTATACGGACATTTTCAAACTAATAAAATAAACTCACTAACTTTCTTCGAAAGCTTCTGATAATCCCTCTTCCATATTCTCTGTTTCACTATTACTGTCGTCATTTAAATCAATAATGAATTCATTTCCACCATTTGGGATGGTTTTTGTATCGGCATTGGTAATGGGAAAAGCTTTTTAGCATTATGAGGGAATAACATTCATTTCAGATATTTCTTGCTTTCATTGGATATTTATTTTTTCAGATGTTTGACCATTGTTTGGCCCCCAACACATTTGGTGATGGGACCGGTTGTGATAACATGACAGCGATAATAGTACAGTTCAAATCAAACATTTGTAAGAGATCTGCTCCTCCCGAAACCTCCAATACGGATTCAAAAAGGGCGAAGACTGAAGAAAAAGTACACATCGAATCAACAGTGTGACATTTTCAAAAATGTGTTGGATAGTATAGGTTAAATAACAGTATGTAAATCTTATTGTCAGTTTTGTAAAAATATGTTTCCAGAATCAGTTTACTTTGAGTGTTTTCCACGAGTAAAGTTTTCTTTTTAAATCGAAAGAGTATCCTATAGGATCCAACAATGAAGAATCACTTCATTGATAGAATCTGAGTGAGTTCGATTCAAAGATTTGCGTCTTACTGAAAAAGGTTTATTGTTTCCATATGATATACTTACCGATAACAATTCTAATTGTTCTTCTTGATACCTAACTTTCTATGCTCAGTTTTATTCGTTCCAGTTGTCTCATTAAAATTGAATCTTCATTTCTAATATAGGTTATCATTTATTTAACTCTTGAAGTCGGAGAATCTCTTTTGAAGAAATGTTTTTCACGAAGGCATAGAAGAGCCACAATAATTTTTGAAATAAAACTCATTAAATGCTAATTTGGAATTCAATAAAATTCCTAATATTCATTCAAATATTATTTAAGGACGCTCAATGATTTGGAATTCAAAATGAACGAATAGAATAGTTTTCAACATTTAGAGGAAAATTTGAAAGAAGTTAGGTATATTTACTCTGTTTTCTTGCATGAATAAAATTGCCGACACTTATTATTTTAGGGTGGATCCCTAAGAACAGAATTTATAATTTTTGTTTAGATCACTACAATTTTTATACTTTTTTGAGCTCTGTATGATTTAATTGGAACTGTTGCATACACAAAAATACAATTTACAAACATGAAGGTCTCTTAATAATTCAAGTTGAAGTGATAAACTATTTTCACTAAGTCTAGCAAGTCATGGTAGAGGTGCCTTCAGTTATACAAAATTGTGGTGGTTCTGTTGTATCATATATGTGTATTTTTTTATTAGTTTAGTTTTATGTTGGTATAATTGTCTATAAAGCATTTATATTAATTTCCGTTTATTTGCATCCCGTAGTTGAATTTCTTTCTCCAGAATGATTTCTTTCATCAACTCTGAAAAATTGAACTTCAATTGTAAATTTGTTTCATCTCGTTTTATTTAGCATAGCTATTGATATAACAATA